CAGGCTAGATGATCTGTTCAGGTCCCTCCTGACCCCCGCTACTATGAAACTATGAAGTGATGCTCATGACTCTTAGCCTAACCCCTTTTAATGCATTAATTATGCATCTATGACCTGGTTCAGCCTGAGACCCACAGCTTCATTGTTTGCACTTCAACATGGGGGTGGGTTGCCCATGCAATCCTGAAGAGAAAAGCCCCATGGCTGGTGTCGCAGAGTGGAAGGCACAACCTGGCACCCCCCTGCTTACCAGCACGCTGCACCATGGGACGTGTCAGAGCCGCTCCACCATTGCAAGGGAAACACTGGTCCCTGGCTGGAATAATGACCTCTTTTCTTGGAGAGCACCAGGCTTTCTTTCAACTTAAGAGCAATTTCTACTACCCCCAGCAGCTCCTGTATTTTCTTTGAAAAGCTTATAATCAATACTCACATCCCAAGACATCAAGAGGGGTAGCAGGAGCAAGCAAGTAAAGGAGAGAGTACATAGGCTTGGCTCATGTCCCCATGAATGCGAACCTCAGTATCCCAGCTCTACTTGGTTAGCTTCCCTCCATTTTCTGTACCTCTCTCTGTCCCTTGTGCTGCAGGGGAAGGTGTGACACAAGAATTGCTCCTCAGGAGCTGTGCAATTTTTTGGGTGATTGTCCCATTTCCTTCTGCTGTTCTGTACTAAGTGGTGAATTATTTTCTTTCAAAACCAAACCTATCAACAGTTATATTTTTTGTTAACATCCCCTTTGCAGAATCTGTGAATATTGCTGATTCAGGGTGCAAAGTTCTTCCTATTCAATTTTGACTGACCAGGATAACAGGCTAACCATTTCCTGAGCACAGTGAAGAGGTACACTGTATTTTCACTTGGATTTGATCCCAGAGCTCAGGTCAAGGAACTGAGAAATGCCAGCTCAGACTGATCACTTTTGCTGGCTTGTTTTCCAACAGTAATCAAGAGGACTAAATTGCATAAATTCTCTTGAGGCTTTTAAGTCTGCCAGAAATGTGTGCTCAAGTATATATATATACATATATATACACATAGATATACATATATATGTATACACACACACATATATAAATATATATATATACACACATACATGTGGCTAGAGGGTCGTACCCAGAGAGTGGTAGTGGATGGGTCGGTATCGACCTGGGAGTAGGTAGTGGGGTCCAGCAGGGCTCGGTCCTTGGACCGATACTCTTCAATGTCTTCATCAGTGACTTGGACGAGGGAGTGAAGTGTACTCTGTCCAAGTCTGGGATGATACAAAACTGTGGGGAGAAGTGGACACACTGGAGGGCAGGGAACAACTACAGGCAGACCTGGACGGGTTGGACAAATGGGCAGAAAACAATAGAATGCAATTTAACCAGGAGAAATGCAAAGTGCTGCACCTGAGGAGGAAAAATGTCCAGCACACCTACTGCCTATGAAATGACCTGCTTGGTAGCACGGAAGTAGAAAGGGATCTCAGAGTCCTAGTGGACTCCAAGATGAACATGAGTCATCGGTGTGATGAAGTCATCAGAAAAGCTAACTGCATTTTATCGTGCATCAGCAGATGCATGACAAACAGAACCAGGGAGACAATACTTCCCCTCTATTGGGCGCTGGTCAGACTGCAGTTGGGGTACTGCGTCCAGTTTTGGGCGCCACACTTCAAGAGGGATGTGGATAACCTGGAGAGGGCCCAGAGGAGGGCCACTCGTACGGTTAAGGGCTTGCAGGCCAAGCCCTACGAGGAGAGACTAAGGCACCTGGACCTCTTCAGCCTCCGCAAGGGAAGGTTGAGAGGCGACCTTGTGGCTGCCTATAAATTCATCGTGGGGGGTGCAGAAGGGAATAGGTGAGGCTCTACTCACCAAGGTGCCTCTGGGGGTCATGAGAAATAATGGCCACAAGCTAGCAGAGAGCAGATTTAGACTGGACATTAGGAGGAACTTCTTCACAGTTAGAGTGGCCAAGGTCCGGAATGGGCTCCCAAGGGAGGTGGTGCTCTCCTCTGCCCTGGGGGTCTTCAAGAGGAGGTTGGATGGGCATCTGGCTGGGGTCATCTGAACCCAGCACTTTCCTGTCTATGCAGGGACTCAGACTCGATGATCTATGGAGGTCCCTTCCGACCCTAACGTCTATGAATCTATATCTATCTATCTATATATATACACACACACACACACATACATATATACACACACACTTTTTTTTTTCCTGAGAGAACATATATTTCTCCCATATATTTTTGAGGCCAGATTTCTGGAAGAAGTGCATTTGGGTTTATTAGAAGTAAATATTCTTGCAGCAAAAAACCATCCAGCTGCATTTGTCTTCTGAAGAATGAAGGTAAAATATTGAAAATTGCTATTTCTTAAGAAAATAGAAAAGACCTGGCCCACATGCAGGAAGATGTCTTTGTTCAGATGAAAAGCAAAGTGGTAAAGGAAAACTAACTTCTAGGAGCATACTGAAGCAGGCAACTCATTTCTAGTAGCATACTGAAGTCAAAATCAGGTGCTCTTCATGTGGTCATGACGACTTGATAATCAGCATCTACTTCAACTGAGGTACAAGGTCTAAGCAAGCAGTCCTACCAGGAAGATGGAGCACAGTCAAGTTTCTATGTATGATGACTCAAGGAGAAGGAAATTATGCCTTATGGCTTGAAGTAGTGTTTATAGGCGAGGCCAGGAGAGAGCAGGGGACAGGCATTTCAGCTGAGGCAGACAGAACAATATTATCTTTCTGTTCTGATGAGGGCTGAGCCTTTCCCCCAGACTCAGTTGTTTTCTCTACGTCCTCCTTGTACCTCTGCCCATGTCCTCAGACCAACCTATACTGGCATTTCCAAAAGAGCCTGTGTTCCCAAGTCAAACCAGAGCTGTGTGTTACACCGGAAGATGAAAGCGAGGAGTGGGGGAACCACTGGAGGATTTTGTGGATGTTCTCTCAAAAAAATGTCCACAAAAGTGCATACGTTTTGGCAAAAAAGAAATGCAAACCTCTAGAACTCTTGCTTCAGAGACGATACCTTTTATTAGACCAACTAAGAAATCACACAAAAAACCATCTTTTTCTGTAAGCTTTCAGGCACACGTGCCCTTCCTCAGGCTCAGGGAAAATTAAAGCTGGTAAAAAGTCCCCGTAGGCAGAAAGTAAACTTCATTTTTGCACAGAGGGAGCTGAAGCTGGGAGTCTGTCCCTCTGGGTCCAAAGAATTTTTTTGATCATGAGCTGGAAGGGAGCTTCAAAAGGAGACTGCTCCATTTGTACAGGTTTCTTCTAGTCAAACCATCACATCTCAACCACAGTCAATTATACGGTTATCTGCTCTCAAGGAAAAGTGGGATAATTGCTGAGCCCAGGCATGCATTCGCTTGCCTTCCAACTTTTACTTCCAATTTGTAAAATGTAAACCTGTGCGTGTGACATTTCTTAACAGACTTTACAAGCCCTTTTTGTTTCTGACCAGGAATTTCTTGGCAAATTATGCAAGGTGAAAACAGGCTGCCATTGGGTGCTTCATAGGCTGCAAGAATACAGGCACGAAGGGAGGCTTGCATGCTTTCACCTTACGAGAGCTCCAGAAAGTCTTCTCTTCCCTTGAAATTGCGAGAGGCTGCGTTAGTCAAGCCTGCAGGTTACAACATTATATATATATACAATGCCAAAACATTTGTAAGCGTGGCAGTATTGTAGAACGGTCTCGAAACCATCCAAGCAGGTAGCTATCGCAGAGCTCTCAGGCTCATTCAAAGTCTCTGAACATTGATACATACAGCACATCCCTTGCCTTCCTACAACCTCCTTTAGAAGTGTGTCTGGAAGCCCCCAGCAGCCGAATCCTTAACTGGAGTAGCACTAGCCAGCTATGATCGGTTACTTCCATGCGGCTTAACTTTTCTCCTCCACCCGAATGCTCCCTGGGGATTTCCGTGCCATTGGTCCTTAGCTCTGCCTTCTCATACACCCTCAGGATTTGCTCCTTTTCTCCCAGAAGAGATATTATTTTAGACCAAAATAAAAAAAAGTATGGCTTATTTTTTCAGCTCAGATTGACTTCTACTCAAGGCCACTTGAACATCCACTTCAGAATCAGAATATTTTCCAAATGTCATCTTCATAAACATTTGTTTCCCTACCCTCCATGCCTCTACTTTAGCTTATATTGTGTATGAGTCCTAACAGTATCCTATTTTGAGAGAACAAAAGATTTAGCAGACATCTATCCCAACCAGAGACGACCTGAGCAGGGTGCGGAGCCCCGGGTCTGGACACGAGGAAGCCAGTGGTGGGGAAGTGGTGGTGCTGAGCAGCCAGACGTGAAGCCGGTGGCAGCGTGGTGTCGCTGCAGCTGCTCTGCCCAGATCTGTGGGGCCCCCCAAAGTGCAGGGCCCAGGGTGGTCACCCCAATTCGCCCCCCTCTAGGGATGGCCCCGATCCCAACACTTGCTGTGCCTAGTTTCCTATAAATCAGAGACCTCAGGAAAAATCTCCAACATTCAAAAACTTGTCTAACTTTACCCCAACTATATAGCTGGTCCAATAAAAGATAAAATAAAAGATATCCTAAGAAATCCTTGCCTTTTGCATACTTTCTGGACCATCATGGCTACAACATCTCTTTTACACTGCCTATCTGAAGTTAGCTTCTCTACTGGAAAAGTCATTGTGGAGGTGGCAGTAGCTGGCTATCGTTTTATGTCAAACATTTTAGCAATGAATTTGTTGTCCACATCTCCATCTTATGGTAGAAAATGAGCAAGACAGGCTGAACAACTGTAATATGGTGATGTGTAGATGAACCAAGTATAGAGAAAGAGTGAGCTACACAGCAACATTGCCTTGATAGCACAACATGCTGCTATAAGATGAAAATGGAGTAGGGTGTGATTTAGTATTTTTTTCCTAGTATAAGCCTCTAACTGGCCACACTACTCCACCCCATTTGTCCAAGCACCTCAACACTGGGTCAAGAAGAACTCCTCTTCCAGCAGTTGTTAATAGTCCCCAAGTCCAAGCTTTTCATTAGCGTTCATTAAAGATGCTGACAATGGGAATAACGTGTTATTTAAGGCAAAGATGTGGTGGGGCTTGTCCATCCTGTTGGCAAGGAAAATGGAAAACTTCACACTTTCATTTCAACTGGTCAAAGTCTGTCTTAGATTGCAAGTCTGGCTGCCAAAGAGAACAGAGAATCATCCGAAAAAGCCACATTAAAAGGCTGTATAAAACCCCTCAAACTGTATGCCCCCTGAGAGGGAATACCCATTGACCTACACCCCCGGAGCAAAACAACCAGTAACGTAACCCAGACAGGACAGGACTCAGCCCCTTTACCATCCCCTAGTGCTCATGACTTGTAGCCTATCCCTTCTTTACTCACTCAGTGCACATCTGTGACGTGTTTACACGTGAGCATTGAGCAAATATACACCATCATCTGAGACGGAGAGGAAACAGGCAACGACCCGACAGCAGAATTCAGCCATCTATGAAGTGCTGCCCACAGGTTACACCCCGGAGCTCCTGTAGCAGCGGGCGGGTGAGCAGCTGGCGGTCTGGCATCACCACAAATGTCCTCCAGAAAGCAGCAGAGCTCCTAAGCATGTTTACAGTACCCCCAAGCAACACTAAATTTACCCACTCGATGTTTTGTGACTCCAGTGGAAGAGTGCTAATGGACACATCTCAAAGGTCCCTCCCAGCCCTAATGTCCATGAAATCTTAGAGCAGGAACAAAAGGAACAGAGTCAGAGGCACAATCTGATTATCCATAAAGACCCAAATGGACATCTGGGTCCTCAGGGCTTGGACACTATGCTTTGGGCTCCCATGCACCTTTTTACACCTCTCCCGGCCTGCTCAATGTTGGGGAAAGATATGGCGCAATTGCAACTCCTCGAGAGCTGTGCAATGGGGCAATTGTCCCATTTCCTTCTGTTACTGTGTGCTAACTGGCGAATTATTTGGTGTCGCAACCAAACTGATCAACGGTTATATTTTCTGTTAACGTTCCCCCTTACCTAATTTGGGAGCATTACAGGTGCAAATGCCTGCTCAAGTCTGGTTGGCTAAAGAGAACGGCCTAGCCCCTGCTGGAAGGTATAAATAATGAAGAGGTGCAGCACACTGTGTCTTTGACCTGGTCAAAGATCAGAGGTGAGACGGCTACAAAATGTCAGCCCTCAAACTGATTGCGCTTGCTGGTCTCGTTTCCATTGGTAAGTCAAGATTTCTCTCTCATATTATTACTGCTTTAGTAGACGCGCATTTGATTTAAATGTTTTTGCAGCAATACTTAAAGTGGCATATGCCTATGAAGGGTAAATGGAAAATATTTCTATCAGAGAAACTATAGCCACATATATGTGCATCAGTTCTGCCAGAAATGTGGAGTCAGAGCTTTATCACAATAAAAGGGTTTAACGTAATGCCATGTTTACAGCCAAATTAAGGTCCTTTGCTTAGTTTCTCAGACTAAGAACGCAGCTGGATATGGTCAACCAAGTTGTTATCTTTGCTTTGTTTCTAGAGGAATGTGCCATTGGTTTGTCTAGTCTTATCCACTCATGGAAACTGAGGCTGGGGGAACCAGAGGGATAAAACATTTGTGCAGTGGCAAAAGTATCTTTCTAAGGGTTGTTTCCAAATGACAAGAAATTCTTAATCTAGCTAGATATAAGCATCTCTGACACCACTGGGGTTCTAAATCCTATGAAAGTATCAAAAGACCACTCTTTTTGGGTAGGATTCAGGCATAAATGCTCATTTCAAATTGAAGCAAGCCTCCCCTGTAGTAACAAAATACACATTTTGGTAGCATGTCACTGGAGTTCAGCATGAGGTTGTTGTCATCCTGCACAGCCAGGCTCCTTTCCTCTGAATGCTGAGGTTTGGAAATAGGGATGGCATAACCTAGCTCCAGACCACAAACAGGAGCTCTGCCTTCCTTACAGACTGGGGGTTTTTTGTGTGTGCTCCCAAGGGTAAAGGCAGCACACTCTGCCCTGGGAAATGTTTCTGTCACTGCATTACAGCTGTTAGTAAGATCCACTCCACTAGCTTTCACTCCAGGGGTCCTGGGCTCTCCACCTGTGAAAAAGCAAGTGAATAGGGGCTGAGAAATGATAATAGAGATGGAGCAATCATCTCTGCAAAGAAGATCTTTTGGTCTAGGAAAGAGTTGGGGATGTGACTACTCTTCTTCCATGTCTCTCACACTCTTAAAAGCTTACCCTTCTCTGAACAACGTGGTCCCTAAGGTGCCACCCTGCCCTGCTTTCTGCCTAATGACTTCCTTGTAGCAAAAAATACAAATACCACTTTCAAGCTGCAAATTCACAGCTGAGTAGGTGAATAGTCCTGAGAATCAAGGATACTAGGAAACATGGAAAGGGAGAAAGCTGCCCTCATACAGGGAGCATCTCAACTTACACCTCTGGTGGAGTATTATTTGGGTGAATTAAGCTTTCTTTTTATTAGGCCAACCTGATGGGGAACTATAGACTTTTGAGATCACATACACACGTCTTTCAATTCTAGAGCCCACCAAATGCTGCAGGCAGCATAGGCTTCTTTACAAATACTTAGCAGCACCTAAGATTTGAAATACGGAGCAGGACCACATCATACACAGCAGTGAAGAAACTACCAAATGATGGCCCCTTTCCCAAAGATGTTACAATTTAGGTAACGCATGATGATCCCTTTTAAAATCATACTGATTGCACAAGATACTCTCATAGTGAGACCTGTTCAGGATTGGTTTTTTTTTTTTTAAATCCCTATTCTACTTGTTTCCATTGAATTAAGAAAGAAGAATACATCTAGAATAAGTCTTTTCCATACAGTCATTTAACGTTTCTTTGTAGACAACTGTAGAAGACAGCTGAATTTTCTTTGCTTGATTCTTTAATAGTTGCTGCACAACAATGGGGACCTGTTTGTGAAGGGAATCCCACAAATAAAATCAGAGGCTGTGATAAGTATGGCTGTGGACACTTTGGTGCTCCAAGGTAACATACTGAGAAATCAGGGAGGGTTTGGCATTGGACTTTTATCATGTTCACTGTTGTCCCCTACATAACAAAATGTTTACATGGAGATGAAAGACTGTGATGAGCCATTTCTAAGTAATAATTAAGGCTTGTGAAACCTGCTGAAATTACAGCCCTGCAGACTCATTCAGAGCCTGAGCAGTGGCAACATCCTTCCAACATCAGTTCTCCCTCTTCTGTTCATTTTCATGAGACTGGTAGAAAGTATTCCTCTTCGTGGCCCATCCCTTCTGCCACACTAGGGTCTAGCAAGTGCTTCTGTGGCATTTCCAATGAAGTCTATTATGGGGGCAGATGCCCAACCCTGCGGAGCTGGACAGAGGCCAGCGGGCGACTTCTTGTCAAAACCTCTGATGTCCTGGGGCAAGACAGGACCAGGTGGTAAATAAATATGAGATGGTCTCTGTATCCCCTTTCCCAGCGATTAAGCCCCAGGCAGTGACCAGCTCCTGGCCCAGATTCTCAGCTGGTAGAGATCCACATAGCTCTATCACAGATGGGGGAAAAACGTCTGCCGTTTGACACCGTCCCTCTCAGGTACGAGGGGACAGTCTGCTAGCATCTAAAATCTACTTGGAGACACTAACAGTAGAACTGGTCCAGATATTTCCATCTAGGATCATAGTACTGGTCCAGAATCACCAATTTCACCTGGAACAAAATATACTGTTTCAGTCTGAAAATTAGTAGTTTGGGGGTGGGATCTTTCCAAAAGCCTGAAAAATTCTATAGCAAGATTTTCAAAAAATGCGAATTTGGTAGGAAACAGCATCCAGTTTTTACCAGTTCAAAAGAACAGATGGAGGTTTACAGTCACTAGAAGTGGATTTAAAGTAGCCAGCTGTTCCATTTCAATTGCCGTACTAGACATTTCAAACTCTAACAAGCTAAAAATAGCAACCCTAGCTTTGCTTCATTACTTCCACTTTTTCAGAAAGGACAGCAAAGGAGGACATCGTGGAGTGGATGTCATCTGCCATGATGGATCGCAAATTATGGCTCCTTTCGATGGGGTTATTACCAAAGTGAACATCTATATTCATGGCAGCACGCATGAAGGAGTTGAAATTCGTGGGGGAGGTAAGCAACATTATCCAACCTTTCAAGCACTGGTCAAAAACGAACATCACCTATCATTCTAAACCGCTTAGAGGGCTATGGAAAAAGCAAATGGTTAAGAAAGCTGAAAGTCCAGCTGAAAGTGTGTCAGTGTTTGGTTAACTAGGCCAATGCTTATGTTGGACTTTGAACTGTTTCTGTATCTGAACAGATGTACAACAGAACAGGGCAACACGCTCCAACAACAGGACTGGCAATGCAGTCCTTTTCCTCTACAGCTCTCCAACCCGCTTGATAAAACAACAGTTACGACTCAATTGGAAAAAAAATAATAGTCAAAATAAAGTGTCAGAAGAGGACACTTGCAATAGGCTGCATTTCATTTTGCTTTGAAAAGCATGTTTGGGCCCCTCCCATAGGTCCAATAACCTCAATGGCTTGATTACTGCTGACTTGACTACGTGTTTAAGTGCAGGCACGCTTTAAGTACGGCTAGCTCTAGCAGTCAGGATAATATCCTGAATAGATACTGCCTGGGTGGATACAGCTATTGAGACAACAGTTTCATGTTGCTTTTTTCTTCCTAATCTCATTCCTTTATAGGCTTCTGTGTGAGACTGCTGCCTGTCCGCATTGCTGTCCACATCAAAGCCGGCAGGGTTCGGAGGGGAGACGTTATTGGAAGAATGCTGAACATGCAACAGGAGTTTCCTGGTATCATCTCTCACATCCATGTTGAGAACTGTGACTACTCGGATCCCACTCCTAACCTTAGACCAGGTAAATATGAACATACCCCCTTCTAAATTAAACCATCCCGGCCTCCACAGGCAAGCTGGGTTTTCCTCTCAGAAATAGCCCAGGCAAATGCATCATTTGAGGGAAGGAAAATGAGTTTTTTCATACACACCATATTACAATCATCTCAGCTTAGGGCTTACAGAGGAGTATTTGCTCTCCTTGGATGCTCCCTCTGCCTTTTCCTTACTGGAATATCCACTGCCTTCTGCCACCCCTTCAGCGCATATTCTCCAACATCAGAACTAGATAGCGCCCTCACTTCCTCCATCAATTAGCTCTCACCGAAGGCTGAGTGGTACCACGGCTACTTACAAACAGCTGAGCCTTTGGGGGAGCAAATGCAGGAGCCCCATTCAGGGAACAGGCTGTCGTCGTGCGGGGCGCTACACAGAGTCCTTCCACAAAGAGATTAAAGTGCGGGTCAAGGAAGGCTATCCTTGCAGAGTCTGTGGTAAACCGTTCGTCTATAAAACCAACCAAATATCGGTAAAACTGTCATCTTAAGTGTGCATCCTCCTGAAAAGAAATGCCGCCCAACAGACAGAATAAAATAGTGCTTCATTATATATGAACATAAATATTCATTTCTTTCTGCTTCAAATAAAGGAAGAAAACGAAAGGTCTATTCATTGTGTGGGACTCATATTAGCCACGCGCCCTGGAAGGTGACATGTAACACAGATCACTAATGAACCCCAGTATTTTCTTCTCTCAACTCCAATATTTGCTGAAAGATAAAACAATTGACATTCTCTTGAGACAGGATAGAAAATTCATTATTATTCTTTTTTAAACAGTGCCGCCGTCGCCGCCGTTGCCGCCGTCGCCGCTGCCGCCGCCGCCGCCACAGTTTGGATGGGCTGCTGTGTGTCAGAATAATCCTTCAAACAAAATAAGAGGCTGTGATAGCTATGGCTGTGGATATTTTGGTGCTCCAAGGTAACATACTCTGAAATCAGGGGGTTCCGGCTATTCAGCGGTGTCCCCCTAAAGCAATATTTACATAGAAATAAATTTGCAAGGTAAATGCTATTTTAAAAGGATTTAAGACTTGCAAATTGTGTCAGAATGGGCAGCACCACACAGGAAAGCAGGGCTGGAAGGGACCTTGGGAGGTCATCTAGTTCAAGCCCCTGTTCGAGGCAAAATCATCCTGAATTAAAACACTCTTGCAAAGCATTTATTTAACTGCAGAAGCATTCACAAAGCCTGAACAGGGGCAATGCCTTTCCAACACTTCAGTCAGCTTCCTTTGTTCATCATCATGAGAAATAGTATTTTCTTCAAGGCCCATCCCCTCCTTTGCTGTCTCTGTTAAACCGAGGTTTAAAAGGTGCCACCTCCAGTGAAGACAGTCATAGGGTCAGGACACCCACCCCTTTGCACTGTGCCGAGACCAATTGAAGGATTTCAGTTCAGGATCTCTGATGCTAGTGTCCCTGAAGTAGGACAGGACCAGCTGGCAAATAAACAGGAGATGGTCTGTGCATCTCACTTCCCAACGCTTGAGTTGACCAAGCCATGGGCCAGATCCTCCTCTGGGGTAGATGAACATAGCTCTGTGGACTTTTGGGGGGCTGCGCTGACCGACAAGGGATTTAAGTTCTGCATTCAATTGCTTTATGTCTCAGATGTGAATGGGCAATCTGATATCATTAAGAAACTGCATGGAGATGTTGACAGTAGAACCAGTCCAGAAATTTCCATCCAAACTGCTTTTCCTTTTTGATGGAAAATGGCTTCGCCCCACTTTCTCCTCCTCCCACTTTGAGAACATTTATTTTTTCCTCTTGAACTGTGTTTTAATAAACCCCCAAAAAAGGTGAAAACTGCCCACCTTTCTCAGTCAAAACACTTCCATTTGGGAGTCTATTGTGGGGTTTTGTTTGTTTGGGGTCTTTTTTATTAATTCGACTTTAGAAAGTTTCATTAAAAGTTTTTTGTTTTAAATTTCATAGAAAATGAAATCCATTGGCCAGCTCATTATGAGTTGATAGAGTTTTACAATGTGTAAAACTGCAGAAACTACAAACATCATTGCACCCTTTACTAATTTTGATACACAGAGTAGTAGCCCTGCTATGCTCTTTTAGGTGACCCATATATTCTATGGGAATAGTCTCGTTTGCTGAGGAAAACTTTTCTCTGCACTCTCTCATTACTTTCATGTGTATATATTTTCAGAAAAAATGGTAAAGGAAGACATGCAGGCGTGGATGTCATATGCCATGATGGATTTACAGTCTATGCTCCTTTTAGTGGTCAACTTTCTGGTCCAATCAGACCATTCAGCAATGGTAATGCCATTGACAATGGAATCCAAATTGAGGGAGGCGGTAAGCAACCTTATTGAACCTTTCAAGTGTTGGCTCATAAATAATTTTGTCCATCATTCTTAACTGGTTGTGCAGCTACAGAAGCAGTAAACACTTAACAAAACTCAGGCAAGAATAGCATAACTACTTGGTTATGCTGTGGTTATGCTACCCCAAAGCATGTGTTGCACATGGAACAGTTTTTGTTCCTGTATTTGAACCCAAATACGACTACTCACTCCTAAGAAAAGAACAGGTTAGAAAGTCTTCAACAGTAAGATTTGCAACACCGTCTTTTTCCTCTACAACGCTCCACCCAGCTTGATAAACAGAACAAAAATAGGACCAATTTGAGAAAAGCCAAATCTCAAAATGTCAGAAGAGGACACTGCACTATGCAGAAATCAGGTCTTCTACCAAAAGTATCTCTATTGATAGAAGCACAGAAAATGAGGGTTGGGAGGGACCTCAGGAGGTCATCTAGTCCAACTCCCAGCCCAAAGCAGGATCATCCCCAACTAGATCAGTCCCCCTTCTGCAGGCCAAACCACCTCTAATTCTTGAAGCTACAGACTTGACTATACTTACATTGCCACCACTAGCATGAGCGCTTAGGATAATTTATTGAAGACTTCAGGGTAGACTCAGCCATGGAACTGATAAGTCTAATATCCCTTTCTGTGTGGGGGGGGTCCACTGTATTGCAGGCTTCTGTGTGAAACTGCTGTGTATCCGGCCTGACACCTACAGTGGCTACGTCAGGAAGGGGCAGCGTATTGGAAGAATGCTGCCAATGCAGCAAGTGTTCCCTGGTATCACCTCTCACATCCATGTTGAGAACTGTGACCGCTCGGATCCTACTTTTCAACTTACAAATGGACAACAAGGACAGGAAACATAAATGGAAACACACAGTATCTGGAAATGACTAATTTCCAAATAAAATCATCTCAGCATCAAAAATGAGTTGCATTTCCTCATTGCTTATTTAAATGTTGATCAAGTAAAAGGAAATGTCATACATGCAGAATAACATTTAATATGAAATAGTGGACAACACAAAGCTGTAAACATCACTAAGTGTAGAATACCAGTACCTATTTTCCTATGACATCATGATGTCAGGGTTTGAGAATGAGTGATCTCACAGGTATTAACTTATCCCTTTGCAACCTTTTTGCTGTCATAACCTGCCTTAAAAGTGCCTCTCAGTCTAACACATAGGTGGAAACTTCCCTCTGGCTGCATCTACATGTGTTATTAATGTGATGTAGGCTTACTGTGCAGTAAGTTACTACACAATAAGCGAGCCCTGGGAATGTGTTTACACGTGCACTCTGTAGGGAGCAGTTTTGCTCCTTACAGGAGTAAGCAGATCCAGGCCTGCTCCTGCCATACTCTTCCCCCTTGCAGCAGCCAGGGGGAGCTGCAGACTTCAGCTGCAGCTCCCAGGGTGCCAGAGGACTCCTGGGCAGGACAGGCTGGCAATGGTCTCCAAGTGGGGCAGGCTCAGACTGGTATGGGTTGGTGTCCAGGGGAATGATTTCAGTTTGGCAGGGGTTTCTAGGGGTGCAGGCTCAGCTTGGCATGAGGCTCGCAGGGGGACCAGCTCACTTTGTTCTGGGAGCCTGTGACTAGTGCGCCATGGACACTCCCTGCCATCCACCCCAGAAGCAGCAGACAGGGCACTGTGTCCATGAGGCAATTGCGAACCACCTCCTCCCCCACCCTCTGTAGTAGGGCACTTGGGCAGCTTCCCACAGCCCCCAGGCCCACTGCATATCCCAAGGCCATGTGCGCTCTGGACAGTTTCCAACCAGCTGTCCAGTTATTTCCCTTCACCACAGCACAATGCCTCCCACCCTCCCTTCTCAACAGCAGCCCCTGCCAAACGTCAATGCCCACCACCCATAAAACACCCTCCTCTCTATGCAACTATTTACAGAGTGTGGTTGATAGTGTCAGAGGGGAACAGTGGGCTGAAGGCACCTACAGCACAGAGCCTGGGCAGAGGCACCTGGCACCCTGTCCTCTGGTGGCACCACCGTGGGTGTGGACAATATGGCGAGGCCAGTGGATTGGGGGCTTGGCTAGGGACTCAGGCAGGCACTACCTAGTAGGGCTGCGTGAAGTGTCGGTCCTTGATTCAATCTGGCGGCGATTCGGCTCGATTCGGTGGCCAAATCTCCAAACCCAAATAGAAACAGGAGACCCTTTAATCTCTCCAAATTGATTCAGAAAGATTTAGCGATTCAGACAGAGACACAGCTGTACATGTTTTTTCTACATACCTCAGGCAGCTTGTGAATGCTGCGATGCTGGGGCGGATGAGCATCCTACTGGAGCACAGGGGGCTCCTCAGCGCGCTCAGCAGCAGACCCGGAAGTGGACCAGAAACACTTCCAGTCCACTTCTGGGTCTGCCGGGGAGTGCGCTGGGGGTCCCCCCCGGCTCGGTGACTGGTGCCAAATGGGGCTGGGGGGAACCCAGGGTCCCTCCATAGTCAATTGCCAAGCAGGTGCACTTGGCAGCAGCAGCAGACCCAGAAGTGGACTGGAAATACTTCTGGTCCACTTCCAGGTTTGCCGCCGAGCATGTGGGGGGCCCCTCTGCACTCCTGCGGGAAGATCCATCTGCCCCACCATCGCAGTGTTCACAAGCCGTGCCTGGTACCTCGAGGTATGTAGAAAAAACATTTAAAGCTGTGTCTATGGCCAAATCACTGATTCTCTGAATAAGTATCGAATCTTCAGATTTGGCCAACTTGAATTGGGGACAGTGATCCGAATCAAAAAATTGAATCACTGTTCCTGATTCGGGTCGAATCCGAATTGAATACGGCCCGTTTCACACACCCCTACTGTCCAGCCTGCTCTCGCTCCTCCGTCATAGGGCTGGGGCCAGCAGATGGAAACGGCCCAGCAGCGGCTATCTCCTGCTCAGGAGCCACATGGCAGGCGAGTGGTGCGCAGGCCAGGTGAGGGGCCTGGCTGTGGGGTACTGGCCACTGCAAGAACCACTAGACCTTCTCCTCCGGGGCAGGGGGTCACTGGACACTGCAGGAACCATGAGACCTTCTCCTTTCAGGCAGGAGCTGGGGCCAGGGCTGGGGGCAGATGACATGAAAGTGAACACCATGTCCATAATGGTATCTAGCACCCAGGAGTCCTCATCCGAGGACTCCACTGCCCCGGCCACCATGGCTACCTGCCACTCCTGGGCCTCCACCAACCTCTTGAGGAGAGCAAGGTGCCTTTTCTCAGTGGCAAGGAGCTGCTCCCCGAAGGTGCAGCCCTTCCAGTCCCTCTCCCACTCCTGCAGCACATCCTCAGTTCATCTGGCCCACGAGTTTGATACCCTGCTGGAATTCACCATCCAGCGCAAGGTGGCAAAGGCCTGCAGCAAGGCAGCAACCCTAGATTTCAGGAGGGCAAACTTCACCGAGCTAAGGAGAATAGTCAGGGAAGCACTGAGGTCCCAGAGGGGAGGGGAGCCAGGTGTCCAAGGAGAGTGGTCACTCCTTAAGGAGACGATCCTCCAAGCCCAAAGGGAGGTAATCCCAACAAGGATCAAAGGGAGCAGGAGGGCACACAAGCCCCCATGGCTCACCAAAAGCATCCGGAAATGTCTCCTAGCTAAAAGGGAGGCGTACACCCAGTGGAAAAGAGGGGACATCACCAGGGATGACTATACTGCAGTTGCTCGGGGATGTAGGGGGGCAGTCAGGAAGGCCAAGGCAGAGAT